TATCTTTCTTGTTTTCTTATCCTTGGAGGTGGCTTAGTGTTCCCCCATTTTCTTTGTGTAATCACAGATTTATAAAGAAATTCATGCTTAATCAATTCTCCTTAAATCTATGATTTTATTTGATATAATTTTGAAATTAAATTCCAAAAATCTCTCCCCATCATTTTTAATGCCACTTGATTCTGAAATTAAATCCCAAAAATTTTTCAACGCCATTTTAATGCCACTTAATTCTGGGATTAAATCTCAAAAATTTCTCAACATCATTTTAACCAGATTTCAATTTTGAAAATTTTTTTGAATAAAATGGGGTGTCTACACACCATTTTTTCATACCTACACAACTTATATACAATTCATAAAAGGTTTTCTATCTTGATTTGCCATTCAAAAAAGGTACATATAATGATGGGAATCATGTTTAAAAGCTTTTTAGATTGATCATATCATTCCACCAAAAGAAATAGTTATGGTATAAGCTAGGTTGTCTTCAGGACAATGAGTGGTCTTGCTCTTTCGATTAATATACCCCAAGACATTGAACAATGATGAATTTAGGAAGGCAATTGAAACATCATGTTTTTGTCGCCATTTGGTGAAGTTTGAGTGAATGGCTTTGTTTTCAAAGAACTAGCATGATCTAGACTCATATCAAATTACCAAAATCAAATCTTTAAAAAGAGTATCACGTTTGCTAAATTTTTAAAAAATCCAAAACAAAAACCTTTTTCAAAGTAATTGTTTAATCAATCATTGCCTAAGAAAAGATTATCCCCTTTTAATATGTCATGGTATGGTTAGGTGAAGATAGGATTGAAACTTGTGTCCCTTTAAAACATTAAGTTTTTGAATGGTTTTCCTCGAGTGGTTTTAGGAATGGAAGCATTTGTAAAAAAAAGTGTTTTCTGGGGTAGGTTTATCCCAATAGTGATCACCATTTCTTTAAGATTCATCATTATGAATTTTGGAAATCATTTTTCCTTTTTTGTTTCTCATTTTTTCTCGATCTAGAAAGTATGCTATATGGGTCTTATTTTTGAACAATTGTTTAAAAAATAAATAATAATAATAATAATAACTATAAAGCACTCATTCAAAAATCCAACAACATTGACTCCATGCAACAAATACATCCTTGCAACATAATGTGCAAGCCATGCATATGTATACAAAATAAAACTCCATAAGCTTAAGAACTGCCCTTAATCTTCTAAGACTTGAAACTTCCTTTGATATCTTAACTCTTCAAATTTTGCAACTAGATTTAATACAAAGTAGATATCCATTGCTTCGTAAGCTCCAAGGTCAAGATGCTACAGATGATAAGATCCTTAATCTTTTTCTTTATCTGCCTGTATTTCTCAGTCAAATGACCAATTGCCTTCATATGATAATCACATTTGTTATTTAGATCATAACTCCTTATTAATGGATTTAAAGTTGTTTTCAAAGGCTCATGGTGAGGCATTAATTTTTTATTAGTAAAAGTAAAAGATAAAAAATAGGGATTAAAAGTTTTTTTTTGGCTATTTTTTTACATTTTTTGGTTTTTTATTAGTCAAATGGTAAACCTAGATGCAGGAATGGGATCACAAATGGTCATGTGAGGAATGAGATTTTCTTGAAAACCTAATTGTTGGGTAGGCTAACAAAGAAATGGACTTTGAGAAGTGTTGCCTATGATTAGGTAGTATGGTTAATTAAAAAGATAAGGATTACACAGAGAGAAGTTTTTGGATAGATCCTTCTCAAGTGTGACTATTTGCACCTCCCTTTTCATTCTTTTTCAATGCACTGCCCATTTTTAGCATCAATCACAATTTTAAACTTAGTCTTGCCATTCTTAATTATATTTTTTATCATTTTCTCGAAAATCACCATGTCAATAAAGTTTTTGGTGACATTCTAGAGCATTCCTTCTTAATAAGAAATGTTCAGGGTGATAACAAATAGAACAGTGAATATTTTCTCTATTAGGGGTTGCTATATTGAGCAGTCACATCTCTCTACCTTTGGGTGTACTCTTTAAAACTTTCATTGACTTTCTTTTTCGTGTTTTGAAAAGACAATCTATAAAGAGTCAAATTAACCACATGTGTATATTAACCAATAAAGGCTTGTGCAAGATTCTTCTATGAATGTGTTCAGCTTCGATCTAATTAGACATACCACTTGGTTGTCGACCCTGTTAAACTATCTTAAGAGTAGTGAATTAGGAGCTATTTGTTATGCATATGACCCATCATTTTTCAACAAAACATTATGAGATAAGTGGATGGGCACTTAGTTCGATCATATTTTTCAAAGTTTGGGACCTTGACTTTGTACGAAGAATCAAGTCGATGACCAAACTGAACTAGGGATTTGTCAAGAATGTTACTTGAATCTTTCAAGAATTCAACTCTCAGTAGTTTTTATTTATATTCAAAATTAATATTTTAAATGTATAAGATAATATTTATAATTTAGCCAAAGTAATATTTTCTTTTCATTTTTTTATAAAATTTATTTCTTATTTTTTATTATAAAAAATGAAAATCTTTATTGAAAATTATTCTAAATGCTCCAATACTTTGGTAACATTTTAGATAAATCTTCGCACTTAAAGATTCTTAAAAAATCACTATTTGGATTTTTTTAGGGTCTCATCTTCGAAGATTTTTATTTTCATTTCTTTTTTATAATCAATTATTTTTAAATAATCAATTTCTTACAAATAATAGTGTTCATGCATTATTATAGATAATTTTATTGTAAACATTTTTTCTTTTATGATTTTTTTATTTAATTATTTTTATTTTACAAAAATCTTTTTATATTGAATGTTTTGTAAATACTCCATTACTTTGATAGTATTTTAAAAAATATCTTCACCTAAAGATTTTAAAAAATCATTACTTAGACTTCCTTAATATTTCATCTTTGGAGATTTTCATTTTTATGTTTTTTATTATTTTATTTTATTTTATTTTAAAAAATAAAATTTAAAATTATCAAGAATTTAAAACTTATTTTCATAAAAAAATTTTATTTTGGAACATAAAAAAATACTTAAAAAATAATAATGAAAAGATAAAAAAGTAAATTAAAAGAAAAATAAAAAATAAAAAAATGATTGAACTGCGCTGATTAACAACTGGTCAATGATCTAGGCGGTCTAAAGTGGTTTTTCACACTGTTCAATGATTTTTTGGTGGTCTACAATAGTTTTTCATGGTTTAGTCTGGTTTGGAGCCGGTTCAATTGGATTGGTTTAGAGGTGAGGCTTAGACAGGCAAACAAATCAAGTTCGCAGATGATATGCCCAGGTTGGGTCCACACGTGGATTGTTATGGGGTAAAACGGCATCATTTTCGCTCGTCTTTTTTTTTTATAAAACCCAAAATTTTTTTGGTTTTTTTTTTTGCTTTCTCTTTTTAAGGGATAGAGCTTCTCTCTATAAGAAAAGCCCAAAAATCCTTAAACCTAGTTTCTAATTGCATGCAGCAGTGCCGACCGTTGTTTCTTCTGCCGTCGTGCTATCGGCAATCATCATCAGTCGTAAAAAAATTTCTAAATTTTCCATAAAAAAAATTCTCTTGGCTTCTTGACTGCCAATTCAACCTTTGTTGGGCCTACAACTAGCCTCAAATTCCTAAATTTAGCCTTGAAAGTTTCGACCAAAAAGATTGTTTTTCTAGCTTTTTCTTTTTTTGTTTATGGCTTTGTGGTTTCCCATTTTAGGGGATGTGATTTTTTTAATGTATAAGTGAGTTTTTTTTATGGATTTTTTTTGTGGTTTTTGGTTGTTAGGTAATGAGCTTGAGGCTCGGTTTAGGAGTGATTTTTTGCTAAATGGTGTGGGGTTAAGGGTACTTAGGTGGTTTCTATTAAGAGCTGTAAGTTGTGAAAATGATTTGTAAGTAGTGGGCAAGGGTATTGGTGTTGAGATGGTCATTGGGTCTTTTATTGTTGGGTGTTTTGTGATTTTTTTTTTTGTAAAAATCCCCATTTTCTTTTAAAGTCCTAGGTATTTTATATTACCAATCTTTTGATAGATAGGTTCATAATCTCCCATTGAGAGTTGAGATTTTTGGAGTCTTATTACAACAATTGATGTTGCAACTTTTAGCTGTGTAATGTTGCATTTTGGAGTTTTGATGAATTTATGTTTGGAGTCAACAAAGGGTAAAACATCAGTAAAAAATAAAAAGCTGAAAATATGGAGGCAATTTAGGTAAAGAGAACTTAGGAAAACTGGCTACCATGGTAAATCAGCTTTAGTTTTTTTAGCTTTATTTGAATTTTCAATTAATTGAAGTAATTAGTTTTAAATGAAATTGGGCTTATAAAAATTAAACTTGGGCTTTGAAAAAAATTGGCCCAAGTTCTATTTGGATTGGGCCTTAACTCAAGAATAATTTATCCTAAAACAATTCTTATTTCGGTCCAACACGAGCATCCAAATAAATGCAAGTTAAATAATCAAGCCTAAGAATTGATCGAAATTCACTTATCCTAAACAAAATTAGGTGTCTACAATTTTTATCAAAAATAATTTGAGATTAACATTGGGGATAATTTTTAGCTTTGGTTGAAACAAATCTAATCTTAACCAAATTGAGACTTGGTTAAATTTTCCTTTTAAATGGACTTATATTTGACAAGGAAAATACAGAGAGCAAAAATATCACAACCTATGAGTAATCAACTGGAAAAAAAAAACCCCATTTGATCAACACTACCATCTTTGCATCAGTGCCAATTCATCAGTCTTCTCATACCACTACATCAACCAACTCATTTCCTACCATTACCATTAACCAAGACCCCTTCTACAAAGAACCAACATTCCATTCTTACCAACTGGCTCTCTCTCCATACACATTCACACCTAAAACCAACATAAAATCAAAGTAAATCCAAAGTTATACACAAAAAACAATGGAGAAACACATAAAAAATAGAGAAAACCAAAAGAATAAATAAAGAAGAAAGATTAGCAAATACCAGTAAATCACTTTACCAAATTTTTACACCTATTACCTACTGTCACCAACCACTCAAACATATACAAAAGTAGCACCTGAAAGCAATGACAATTCTAATTACAACTTAGAAATTCAAAAAACAAACCAGTCCTCAATAAGCCACAAATCGTTAGATAGTTTCAACAAATACCCAAAATCACTAGTCTAAACCACCCATTACCACTAATTCACTAATCGAGAATTCAAAGCAAACACACAAAGACAAAAGCCAACAAATCGAAGAACCCAGCTTTAAGCAAGAATCAAGTAGCCAATGACCAACACAATCGTTAACTTCCACCCTTGAGACCAAGTCCTGTCACCATCATCAACTCCATCCAAATAGTGATCAACTGTCACACAGATAAAAAGAGAAGCAAAAAATTAGAAAAAAAAAACACTAAAAACAAAAAAGAGATTTGTTTTTGGTTTTGGTTTAACCCACTTCCAAAAATATTAGAGTTTTCAAAATTTGTGAAAAGGTGGCTAAAGACAAAGTTAAAAATATACCTTCAAATAGTGGCCATCAAAACGACAAAAAAATATGAGAAAATCATAACTTCGAACTTAGATCAACAACGATCGAGACCATTTTGGAAGAAATTATTTAAAGCATATGACAGAAGAAACTAAGACGAGATTGTGGTGAAATTTTGAAGAAATTCCAACATCGGTCGATAAAGGCATAAGATGGTAGTAGCAGTAAAGATACATTAAAATCTGGAAAAACCTATCATTGTTCCTAAAAGAAAGTTTAGAAAAAAAAAAGAAGTGTTTAGAGAGAGAATGAAGAATTTGACAAATGAAAAAGTGCTTAAAAAAGACTTTTTATATTACTATTAAAACAATGCAACTTTGATTGGGATAAAGAGACTAGATTCGTGTGTTGCCTTTTGTTTGACCTAAAAGCACCTGCAACCTGTAATCCATTTCTTTTTCCATTTGAGCCAAGCCAAGCCACAAGTCACTAAGCTGAGCCGTGAGCCATTTCATGTGCCTACAACTAAGCTCTCCTCCAACTGCCAAGCCGAACTTTATTTTTTTGTAATTTTTTTTCATTTTATTTTTTTATGAATTCTTTTTATTCTTTTAGTTGTGATACACTTTACTTGATTAGTTTTGTATATAGAAAAAATTATTAGGAAAAGGTTTTTTAATTTATAAAAAAATCTTAAATTTTATAAAATAAAACTTTAATAAAATTTTGAAAATAAATTACAATTATTCAAATATGAAATTTTTAGAAATTACAAATGGTTAATTTTTAAAAAATTGCTAAGTGAAATTTTTTTTTAAATTTGACCCAAATTAAGGAAAAATTTAAATAAGTTTCAATAACAATAACAATAATTAATATTTATTTTTAAATTATAAAAAAAATTTAATAATATTTTAGAAATGAATTAATAATTATCTAATGATAAGATTCTTAGAAATTTCAAATGATACATTTCTTAAGAAATCTCTAGGTGAGTAATTTTTTTTAATTTAACCCAAATTGTAGAATAATTTAGACAAAATTTCAATAAAAGTAATTTCATTTCTTTCCAAATTAAAAAGAAAAAATATGTAACTCGTAAATTTGTTTGAAAATATATGACTATTATCCAAAGATGAAATCTTAAGAAAAATAAAAAATGGTTGAATTTCTATAAGATTTTTAGATAATTTTTTTTTAAATTCAGCCCAAATGACAAAAGAATTTAGATGATACTTAAAAAAATTATTATATTATTTTTTTCTAAGAAATAAGTGACGAATAAATAGAGATTGAATTCTAAGAAAGATATTTCTAAAATTGGCCTAAATGAAATAAAAAATAAATTTTGAAGATGAAATTCTTAGTAAATGCAAATAGATGATTCTTTAAAAAATTTATAAATAAGAAAATATTTTTAATTTAGACCTAAATAGTAAAATAATTAGATATATTTTCAATAAAACAAAACTTAATAAAGTAAGATTAATAAATGAATAATTTTTTTTTTACAACGGAGCCTTTTTAAAAAAATAAATAGGATTTTTGAATACTCTTGAAGTGAGAAAATATTTTAAAAATTTTGTCAAATTGATAAAGAAATCTTAAAAGTTATTTTTTTATATTTAAATAGTAAAATTTAATAGAAGACCATTAAAACCATAGACCTTTAGGATGTTTTAAAATTAAATGGTACCATTCATTAAATGGATATGTAAGGGTGCTATAACTTTCCCTATACATAATCAAACTCTCAAACTTAATTCTAAAATGCAAACTAGAACCTATTCTTTCAAGAATCCATAGTCAAGCTTAAGATTTCCTTGAATGGATAGATTAACCTAAGTAGACAATCACACCTAAATAAAAAAGTTTGGTGGCAACTACTTTTGTTGTGTCTAGCGATTAAGTTTTTAGACTTATACGTTATGACAAGCATAAGTTGTAAAAAAAAAGGAAAAAAAGAAAAAAAGATTGTGAAATTATGCATATGAGACATTTAAATGAATCTAAAATTAATGAGAAAAGAAAGTCTTCTCTTAAGAATGGCTTTTCAATAAAAGTATCCATACTAGAAAGGAAAAATGCCCATCTTTCAAATTCTTTTCATGAAAGAAGAAAATATCCATTTGCTATCCCATTTGAGCTTATTGATTTTTATTTCTGAATGAACCCTAACCAAAGATCATTCTTCAAATTTGAGGGTAAATTCAAAAAAGAATAATCTCATCAAAAAGGCATTTGATCTTATGTTGAGGGGCTAGGAAATAATGCCTTATGTTAAAGGGGCAAGTTTAATGTAAGCTGAGTTCTAAAAATTTTGAACTCATGCAAAAAAAAAAGATAAAAAAAAAAAAAGATGAAAAGGCATGTTTGGAGTAAAGGGAAATGTCTTTATAGAAAAGAATGATCATCAGTTCAATTACCCTTAAGCATGTATTTTCGACCTTTTTATCATTTCTTTCAAAACTTTAAACCTCGACCTATGTTATATCATTTAAAAAGTCCATTTTGATTATGTATAGATACCTTAGGAAAATCATAAATTTGGGTTTTAGATTAATTTTGAGTGCTCAAATGCATGGTGGAATAATCATAAAAAAAATAAATAAATAAAGCTCTATGATGAAAACTTAAAATGGCAGTTTAAAGTAAAAGTGAAAATTTGAAAACAACTCATGAAACTAATTGATGCAAGAGGTATTAGGTAAAGGCATTTTTTAATGAACCTTAGTGCATTAAAGACTTTTGATCAACCCTATTTTGATGAATTGTTTTAAAATCTGGAACCTTTCTTTATTTTTCAAAACTTGGAGCCTTGCACGGCTAGTCTTGGTATTTATTAAACTACCATATGTTAAGAACTTAAAAGAGTGTCAAAATAGATTATACCTTAAAATATCATCTTCGTTTATGAGCCTAAATGAAGAGACATTGATTTTTTTTTTCTCATTTACTGGCCAAGTTTTCTTTGATAACTAAAATCATGATGTGTCAAATCATTACATCTTTTTTGAAAAAACTAAATTGTGATTCATCACATTCATTCTGCATAGTAATCATCGATTTTAAGAGATCTAATCACATGCGAAAAATCGGTTCATATTTAGAAAAATAGTTATGTGGGGTAATATCTATTGTTATTAGTGAAAATTTTAAGGAATGTTCAAGTGGTCTTTTGAATCTCAATGCTCATTGTTGGAAATAGGTACATACTATGATGAAAGAGATATTTATGGGGCAAAGAGAAATGTCAAATGTAAGGGACATCTAGTGAAAAAGAATAATAGACAAGAAGAATGATTTTTAAGAATGAGTTGATTAAGCCAATAAAATGTTAAAATATTTGAACTTGTTAGTTTGTTTTGATGATGTATGGTGGAAAGTCAGAAAAAAGGTTTCGAGAATTATGGTACCATAATTAAGGACATATGGTATTGATTTCATGCATTTCATGTATTATATGCATCACATTCATTCCTTTTATTGCACCTATTGCATACTTTCAATAGATAAGAAAAATAGAAACTTAGGTTTGAAACTTTGGTTGAGAAAAGAAAACTTTGCAAGATAATTTTTTTTTTTTTTAGATAAGAAACCTCTGATGATGGCATTAAATGAAAATTTACCTCAAGGTATTTTTTTTAAAAACTTTCGAGTATCAATTTTGAAAACCTCTAAGTAATACTTCTTAAAACCTCCGAGTACATCCTATAAGCTTTCGAATACTCTTTTCAAAGTTCTCTGGACATGATCTATAAAACCATTGGGCATAATCTTTTTAAAACCTTTGGGTATCTTTTTACATTTTAAAGTTGTGAAGCCTTCATATGAAAGGAACTTTTTCAAAATTCAATTTACAAAACCTCTAGGCACAATCACCAAATCCTCCAAGAATGATTTATAAGAGCTCCGAACATGATCTTTTTAAGTCTTTCGGATATAATCTATAAAACATTCAGGCATGATTTTTTTAAACCTCAGGGTATCTTTCTAAATTTTAAAATTGTGAAGCCTTCCTATGGAATGAGCTTTTTCAAAATTTGATTTTTAATGTCTTTGGACATAGTCACCAAGTCCTTCGAGCACAATCTATAAAATTTTCAAGCATTATCTTTTAAGTCTTCCGGGCATGATATTTTTAAAACCTTCAGGTATTTTTCTAAATTTTAAAGTTATGGAGCTTTCCTATGGAATGAGCTTTTTCAAAATTCGATTTATAAGATTTCTGAGCATAATCACCAAGTCTTTCGGACATATTTTATAAGACCTCCAAACATTATCTTTTAAATCCTTTGGGCATGATCTATAAGTTCATCGAGTATAATCTTTTTAAACTTCTAAGTATCTTTCTAAATTTTAAAGTTGTGGAGCCTTTGTATGAAAAGAGCTTTTTCAAAATTTGATTTGTAAAATCTCTGAGCATAATCACCAAGTCCTCCGGGCATGATCTTTTTAAAACCTCTAAGTATCTTTCTAAATGTTTAAATTGTGGAGCTTTCGTATGAAATAAACTTTTTCAAAATTCGATTTATAAGACCTCTAGGCATAATCAACAAGTCCATTGCGCATGATTTTTTAAATCTTCTGGGCACATTCTATAAGACTTTCGAGCATGATCTATAAGAGCTTCAGATAATATTTGTAAGTCTTTCGAGCTGAATATATTTTAGAATTGATATTATAAAACCTCTAAGCGTAATCACCAAGTCATTTGAACATTATCTATAAATCTTTTGAGCACGATCTATAAATCCTGTGGACATGATCGGCAAAACTTTTGAGTATCATCTTTAATTTTTAAAGTTGTGTGCCTTTATGCTGGAAGAACTTTTATTTTTAAAGTTGTGTGTCTCTATTTTAGAAGAGCCTTGGAAACAAAAAAAATGTTGAATAATTTAGGTTCGAACATAATGGGTATCAATGTTTTTGTGCAATTCCTGTTTCATAGAACTATTCAAAGAAAGGCAGTTCTAAACACTCCATTTTGTCCATGACCCAAATCAGTTGAGCTTGGACTCACTTTAGGCTCAATTATCCGATTACTTTAGTTGCATTTATTTTTTATTTATTTCATGTATTTACTTTTATTATATCTATCTTATTTATTTCTATCATTTTCTTTATCTATTTTATTTTATGTTTTTTTTGTTTATCTTTAGCTTTAATTTCATTTATTTGTTTTTAAATTATCTGATTAACTGTTAAAAAAAAGTGATAACTTTTAAAATAAAAAAGTGTCAACCAAAATTTAAAATTGATTGGGCTCTTGATAATTTCATGAATTAAAGATAAAATTTTGGAGATAATCCATAAGTTTTGCAAGTTAATCCGATCCTAACTCTTATCTCTAAAGAATTACTGGCTATATAAAGCCAAAACAACCGATGAATCAACACACAACAATTACAAAGGTGATTTTTTTTATAGTAAAGTTTTTGGGGAATTTGTTAGGAAATTTGGGGTAAATTGCAAGATTGATTCAATTGTGGGAGGCTTTTAGAAACTCAAGAGACTCAAATTGGTGATTTTTTGTGGTTTTTTTGAAATTTATAAGTTTTTTCAAAATTTTCTAGATTTTGGTGACTTTTTGGTAATTTTTTAGAATTTAGCTAACATTCAATCGATGTTCATCCGATCTTAAAAAAAGAATGAAAGAAAATGAAAATAGGAGAAAGAGAGCAAGGAAAAGAAATATAAAGAAAAAAGGATTTTTTGGGCTTTTATACATTTACAAAAAGACATTGTTTTGTTTTAAAAAATTTTCAAGATCCGCATGTCGACCCAAAGGAGATTTATGTGTCAACCTGACCTAAGTGCACCCAACTCACATTTTGGAGTTGATTTCTTATTGAGCCATTCAAGCAACTCCAAATGATTCTTTTTTTTTGCAGCAAAGTTGCAATCCAAGCTGAGCCGAGCTGACTTTTTTGTAATTTTTTTTAGTTTTTTATTATTTTATTGATTTATTGATTTATTTATATTATTTATTTAGTTCTGAAATATTCTTGCATGATTGAATTTCTAGGAAAATTATTTGAAGTTTTTCCAAATTATAAAATATATATAAAATGAAACTCTAATAAAATTTTGAAAATAAATTATAGTTATCCAAAGATGAAATTCTTATAAATTACAAATGGTTAATTTTTAGAAAATTTTTAGGTGAGAAATTTTTTTTCTAAATTTGACTGAAATGGAGAAAAAATTTATATAAAGTTTCAATAAAAATAATTAATATTTATTGTCATTTTATAAAATAAAAAAAGCATATAAATAAATTTAATAAAATTTTAGGAATAAATTAACAATTATCCTATGATGAAATTTTAAAAAATTTCAAATGGTAAATTTTTTAAGAAATTTCTAGGTGAAAATTTTTATAAATTTAGCTTGAATAATGAAATAATTTAGATGAAATTTTAATAGAAGTAATTGTATTCCTTCCAAATAAAAAATAAAAATATAATTTGTAAATTTATCTGAAAATATATGAAAATTATCCAATGATAAAATCTCAAGAAAAATCACAAATGCCTAAATTTTTATGAGATTTTTAGGTGAAAAGTTTTGTCTAAATTCAATCCAAATGTTGGTTGAATTTAGATGAGACTTCAAAAAAAATTATTATACTATTTTCTTTTTAAGAAATAAATGTCAAATAAATAGAGATTGAATTTTAGAAAAGATATTTTTAAATTTGACTTAAATAGTAAAAAATTTAAAAATGAAACATATAAACTAAGAAAAAATTATGAGAATAAAATTATTATTAATCATAAATAGACGATTATCTAAGAAATTAAGTGAGATAATATTTTTTATTTTGGTCCAAATAATAAAAGAATTAGATATATTTTTTATTAAGCAAAATTTAATAAAAATAATGATTAAGTTTTTTTTTTTTGACAATGGAACCTCTTAAAAAAAACAAATGAATTTTTTTAATACTCTTGAAATGAAAAAATATTTTAAAAATTTTACCAAATCGATGAAAAAATCTTAAAAGTTGTTTTTAATATTTAAATGTTAAAGTTTAATAGAAAACCATTAAAACGATAGACTTTTAAAATAATTTAAAATTAAATGGTACCGTCATTTGGATGAAAATGTGATAATGCTATAACATTTTTCATACGTAATTAAATTTTTGAATCATGTTTTGATTAATAAATTAAAATTTATTCTTTAAAGATCTTTAATCAAGCTTAAAATTTTCGTAGACCAATCATGTTTTTAATAAAAAATTAGTGACAACTCTAATTATGTTTAATGATAGATTCACGAATTTATTTATTATCAAAACATATATTCTTAAAAAAAAAAAAATTATAATATTCTTCTATGTCGTCTTACTTACTTGAGCGAGGAGGGATGCTCTGTTCATTCCTAAAGAAATTCTTTGGATCAACGGCAGTCTTCACATCCACCAGCCTCTCATAGTTTCCATTAAAATAACTCTCCCCATAAACTTTGCCCTCTTCATATGTCCAATTTTCAGTGGCCCCAATGTCAATGTCCCTATAATTCAAATAAGCACTCCTTGGATTCTTGGACACGAACGGAGTCATGAAATCGTGAAGTATTCTTGCTTGAGTTGTGTAATTCATGTCTGCCTCAATTCCAGGTTCGTACCAGTTCACGGAATACTGGATCTTATACAAATTCCCGGCACGATGAGGGAATGGAGTCTCCGTAGCCTTGATTTCGTTCATTCTCCCTCCGTATGCATTGAAAACCAACCCCACTTTTCCCAATTCAATCATCTTTTCCCACAGCGATTCCAACCCATCTCTAGGAATTGGAGTCTGCACATAATCTGACTTCCTTTTCAGGAAATAAGCGTCATTAAGATCTCTATCGAGTAAGGCTCTAGGTGATGTTCCCAAATCGAAATTAGCCCACCAAAGAACCGAGTCAATCCAACGCATTTCCGTACAGTTCTCTTTCCTTAGACGCAATTCAGGGAAATCCTTGCCCAACAGGCCTACAAGAGTTTTGGCTTCCCCCAAATACATAGCAATAACCGTCACTCTCAGCGTCTTTCGCTTGTTTCTCGTCACTGGCTGCAATAGCATCCTCATGAAAAGATTATTATCTGTTGTTGGAGCAACAGATTGCCACTTCAAAGCCACATCAGTGGCATTTTCTGCTAATAATCTTTCAACTCTGAAAACAGTAACTGTCTCAGGCACCGGAACAAGCTTAATCTTGTAGGCTAAAACCACACCAAAACTGGCTGCTCCCCCGCCTCTTATAGCCCAGAAAAGATCCTCTCCCATGCCTTTTCGGTCTAGAATTCTTCCGTTAACGTCAACTATTTTGGCATCCAGAATATGATCCACAGACAGACCATATTTCCTCACCATGGTACCGTAACCGGCACCGCTAAAGAGCCCACCAACGCCGACAGTGGGACAGACTCCTGCAGGAAATCCATGGACTGTGCTCTTCTCCCAAATGTTATGGTAAAGTTCTCCAAGTGTTGCGCCGGTTCCAACCCAGGCCGATTCATCTGCCATATCAACAGATATGGAACGCAGATTAAACATGTCAAGAATGAAAAAGGGCCTGTCAAAAACATAAGATAAGCCTTCAAAGTCGTGGCCACCGCTACGGATTTTGAGTTGGAAACCAACCTTTTGGGAACAGATTACGGCGGTGGAAACATGGGATTCCTCCAAAGGAGTGATAATGATATGTGGTTTTGGGGTGGAAGAAGTATTGAAACGAGCGTTACGAATATAGGCACGCAAAACTGATGTGTAGGAGGGATTGGACTTAGAGAAGAGAATGGTGGAAACATTGAAGGATGGGATGGATTGAATTAAGCATTGGAGAAGGGATTGATAGGCAGGATCTGAGGCTGCCCATGAAAAGGAAAAGTTGAAGAAAACAAGAGCAAGCAGAAGCGAAAGCCACAGCTTCATCGAAACTGGCATTCTACTTTTGTTCATGGGTCAGGTGATCGGCATCTGTTGATGATTTGATTTATAAAGTTGATGGTATGAAAATTCTATGCTACACTTGTTAATATTAAAGAGGATTGCACCTAACTTACGGCCAGACAGCTTACTTTGGAAAAATATCCAGACAGAAAAGGAAACATGATATATTCTCCATATCTATAAAATCTATAAAATTATATAAAAGTTATCCCGACTTCCTTAACTCCCCAATCTCATCAATATTGTATTTAAAAATAATTACAAGGATAATCTAGAAATATAAAGCTTCAGACAGTGTAGAAGCTTCTGGAGAGAACAACCGAAAGCAATTCAATATAAAACAGAGCGCGGATTGGGATTTTCGATGATCCTTTTTTTGGTAGGGATTTTGGGGGTTTCGATGGTCCTTCTCTCCTCGATGGCGCGTCTTATTTATTCATTATGAAGCTTTGGTTTTTGTTGGGAACTTGTGGGTTTTGAATGTAATAGGTTTTTAGGCCACTTTTAAATATAACGCGGTTCTGTGGGAGTTCAGAGTGGAGGAGTTTGAGAAAGCGTTAATTACGCCTAATGATACTTTGGGTGATATTCTTATTCCTTTGTTAAAGGTTGGTTCTTTTCTTTTCAACTCTTAAAAACTTTGATTTTGTTTCTGGGTTCTTTAAAACATGCCCTCTTTTATGTGTTTTTTTCATCCTTGGCATTACTTTAGTCCTTAATGAGGCAATATGTTATTTTTAGAGTCTTGAATTTTCTTTTAGCAATTCGTTGATTAATTTGCTTGTATGCAATTTTTTTAGGAAAAAAAAATCATATTTGTAGACATAATTGTAAACTTCTGACAAAGACTTCTTGTGTTTTAATCAGAATAATAATTATTGAATTAAGGCAAATTGGAATGTCAAATGTATAACTATTGGCTGAAGATTATGGCACTCTCAAATACTCCGGTGAATTGTTGTTTTCTTTCTTTTAGGTAAAATTCAAGTTATTTGTGAACTTGGTTTTTTGTTTTTTCATTTCTTTAGTTAGTTTGTTATTTAAATTGTATTTATTCATTCAATTTGGATATAGTTTAAGGGTGTTTGGTTTTGTTGTTTAAAGTGAAAGCTTGATAGTTAATAACTAAGAATTCAAGGTTTTAAGAGGCATAATTGAATTATGATCTGTTTTGGTTCTTGAAGAAAATTTTGGAAGGATAGAATGATAAAAGCGACTTCATCTGTTTTGGTTCTTGAAGAAAATAAAAGAAAACATCACAATTAATATTCTAAATTAACTTATGGAATTGAAAATCTCATGTGTAAAATAATAATACTCTCTCTCTCTCTATATATATATATATTTATTTGCACAATTGAAACAATTATATTATTGAATAAAATGAAAATTACTTAATGGCCAAAAAATACACTATATAGTTAGTTTATTTTGGATTTGTCCTTAATTCTCATTGTGGATATTCTCCAGTGACCCCGTGTATGGCAAACAATCAAATAATGAACAAGTAAATTTGAGAAATCAGGGCCACATGAAACCCTTTAAATATCTTGCTTTTTGACTCACATGTTTCTTAGCTCTATCCTTAGACTATTGGTTGGCTAGAACAATATAATTTGATATTCTCCTTTTATTTCTTTAGTCAAACTTAAATATATCACAATATAATCTTTTATGATATCTAACTTTTAGATCTTATACTAACAACTTATTTTTTAGGTCTAATTATATACATATATATATATATACATATATATATATATATACAGAGAAATGAGAAAATTTTAAATTGACAAAAATGATTAACTACATTTCTAATTTATCATTATAGAGCACAAGATCCACTGCTTGGACGATATTGCTATCTTGACTGGAGGTAACAAATACTGATATTCTTACACCCTCTTAAATTAGGAATGCCTATGCATCAGTTCCGTCAACTAGAAAAAAGTTATTTTATGTTAAATAATATTGGAATAAGACAGTATTGTCAAGTATACCCATCACTGGAAATGAATGGTTCAATATCTTTTACTCGATAGCATCTTCAGGCATAAAGTAGCTCTTTAGAATGGAGTGCAGATCCTAAAGGGTATATGGGTAGATTGAAAGAGAGGAGAACAGAGGAAAGAAAAATGGGTGCGAAACGAAAAGAGATAATTATAGCAAGGCTGGAGGAGATACAATCGCCATTGCCAAGATCATATTGGTGTCCTGTATCGCCTCCATCATCGGCAACAAAGTAATTGATTTTGTATTTTTTGTTTGAAATTTATTTTGTGATTTTGGGATCTTTTTAATAAACTTGCTATTTTTGTTTTTGTCTTAGAAAGTCAAGAGAATGGTAAGAAAGGGACGACGAGGGACAAATCTTCCTTTGTTCCCGAATTGGCTGCTTGCTGGCTGCCTGTGAAGAACGTTAGTGCTCAGAGGCTCTTCATTGAGGTAGACTGATTTAGGCAAAATTTAGTTTTCACATATTTATAGTTGGATTAAGCAAGGCAAAGTTCTTATTTACATTTGAAATATCTGTTAAAATAATCCAGTTTTGTTTATGGAATTTCCTTTGTTTTTATTTGATTTGCCTTTGTTTTCTGTTTCCCGATCTAAATTCAAAGTTTAAACGTTTTTGTTAAGCCATAGCTTTGGTGTGTTATTTTCTTCTTCATTTCTTCTTGGTTAGATCATTTTAAATGGTATTATTTTTCGATGTACTTAGTTTATTGTGATATAATTTTCAAGCATTCTTGACTGTGTTTTAGTTCAAGCAAACATTTTCTCTTGGTGTCTTGCTTAATCAAGTGAATTGGTTTTTCTTTTAGGTTTCTAGGATGTTGTTGTCCTAGGTGATAAAGAGATTTAAATCATTTTTTCTACAAATAAAGCAAATAGTAACAATCATATATCATATTCAATTAAAAATATAAACATGGGATTGAAAAGTAATGCAATTCAAACATAATGATTTCTTATAAGAGTGAAATTTGCATACTATGTTATACCATTTTTCATTTAGTTTTAAGATGGTACTTGCCTTATTTTTCAGAGACAGAAATAGATGACTCTTTATCTTGGAAACCTCTCAACGCTTATTTGATACTCATTTTTAGGTATGGGTGAAAAATCTAACTTTTTTCAATTTCAAGTTGAAGACAATTGACAAGATTGATTTATTTTCAAATTAATAAATTGTTTCTGCAACTAGAATACCATAAAAGAAAATAACTTTTGAGATGATGTTTATTAGAGAAATTGATGCAGCACACCTTATTTTGTGGAAGTTTATTATGGCTTTACAAAACCTTGATGTCTTCTGTTGTCCACGGAATTGAAAGTTTGTATAGAAACCTCGGAAGAAAAGAATTTATCATCTAACAGCTTAGGAGATGGTCCTTTTACAAGTTGCAAACAAGTAATTTCAGGTAAGATTCATCCTTTACTATTTTTAAATGATGACTCATTTAGTTGAATTCAGGAATATAGTTTTGATAATTTTGTTGCTATTTATTTAGAACCAAGGTAGTGAAGAATTTTGTTGGTTTATTTTAATTTTAAGCTGAATTAGACATTTGCTTAGTGGTTTCCAGCTTTAAATTGGATTGTATGGCATTTTTATTAGAATTTGCAGATGAATGACAATTTTTAAACATGTGAATGGTAGAGCCAACGAGCTTTTTGGTTAGCGACATCACGGTATTGGCATCTAGAAAGCTGCCAACGTTCGAGGCGTAATCCCCTCCCCAATCAAGTAAGCTCTTATAGTTTATCATAGATAGTGAAGTCAAGGGGGATTAGAGGTAGAATAAAAACTTTAAAAAATGATAACAGAAAGAGACGTAAGACATGACTTAACAAGGGTTGGAATAAATGTATGCAGATACTTTATTGTCTCATTATTTCTCAAAGAATGAGCCAAAATATCATTTTTCTTTCAATGACTAAATTTTAAAATTGTAAGCTTATGATGTATTGGTAAAGATTAAACATAAATCTCTCATATATTAGAAGTTTTGTAACATAAAAAATTGTAAATCAGCTTTTTATTTTGTAAATGACACAGCTTTATCATCTTGATAATACTTTGACATGTTCCTTTAATAACTATTTTCGTCTGATTATAATTCATGAAGTTGTCCTTATAAAAATGTAATATGTATAGTTTATAAATTGTGATCAATTCAATAAATTTGATGTATTATATCTTACTTTTTTTTTATACATAATGTCTTAAATTAGCTTTATTTTGATTATTTATTTTTTAGTATACTGTTTTTTCAATTAAATGAAAATTTTATATACTTCAAAATTTTATTTAAGCTAAATAAAAAAAAAAAACCGGTAACAAAGCGCAGGCATTACACTAACTTAATATAAAACTTATCCCCTTCTCTCAATTAACACCCAACTCATGTTTGTCTTAAAAATAATTGCAAGGGTAATTAGGCATTAAAAATTTGCAGAAACATAAAGAAGGCCCTAGAATGTGACAGAATAGAGAGATCAGGGGAGAAGAAGAAAAAAGAGTTTCTTTACCAGCTCTTTACTTCTATGGCTTTACTGCATGCATCGATCGATATGATATTTCATATTCTTACATATTTTATTTATTTTGAGATTTTTTATTTGTTTTTGCTTTTTTCCGTTTGCAAGCTAAGTTGTTTAATGTGAGATCCATCATCACATGAAAAAACAGAATTAGTTGAATGGAAATTTTCTGTTCAAAGGATGAAGAGAATAAGATCTGGAATCTTACTCATTCTTCAGAAATTACAAGAAAAATGAAATTTCCGCTGATTTATGGATGAATCGACATGTGGAATTTCAATAGAATCAACCATTAAAACAAGTACCTAAATTTAACTCATCTGAAGATCTTCCCACCATTTCGGTGATGAACATAAGTGATATAAACTCCAGGTTCAAATTGCTCAGTAACTTCTTTTTCTTCTCCACCTTTAATTGCTGAAGCCTCTAATGATCTTGATTCATTTTCTGAGCTTTGTTGAGGTGCTGCCTCTC